AAAAAAAAAAAAAGCCCAAAAAAATTCAAAATGGCGAACGACAAAAACCCAAGTAAGAGCCACAGTCGTTCGCGTAGCCGAGGTCTCCATCCAAGTGTCCCAGGCTTCGGGAAGAGGAGGATCCGTCGGGTCTCGGCGGCTGCCGAAGAATCGTGCGGCGTTGTCAGACGGTCCCAAAGCCCTGAGGATCGAGAGTACGGTTCGCGGGTATGTATTATATGCACGTATATAGCTCCTAAGTATATACGTCCTCTGGGTGGAAGAGGAGAGCAAGAGCCGGGGGCCCGGGGCCCCCAACGAGTAAAAAGAGTAGTATGGCAAGAGGGGAACTCGAGAAAAGAAGAAAATGAACGAGCACGAGAGAGAAGAAGAATCGTCTTGGGGGCCGTACCAGCCAAGAGGATCGGTGCGCGAGCGCGCGATACATGCACGCAAGTGCACGTGATCTCTCACGCATGGACCAGAACGCAGCCTCCCTCTCTCTCTGATCCTCCACCGCAAAGCCTGGGCATTCCCGATCATTGTTCCACTTGCTGAACGTCGAATCGTGGAAGGACCGTGACCTTGGACCAAAGTGCCCCAGCATCCAGCCTCTATCTTCGTCCCACTTCGCGAAATAGCATGTACTTCCAAGTTACCCATAGATCCACGGGATCCCTGGTACCGGCTCATCGCCACCCTCCGATTCGGCGAACGACTGACGTACCTTGTGAGCGATGCCGTCCTCGTGCGTGTCCACCTTGAGGACGCTCCCGCTGATCTTGTAATCGCGATCGGCAGGATCGCGCGAACTGTAAGTGTCCACGAGGACTTCCGCCGGTGGTTTGTAATCGCGGTAACCCGTCGGCGATGGCGCCACCGTCGTCGAGTCCTCGCCCGTCGCCGGGGCTAGTCCTGGGACGTCGTCGGCGTCCTTGAGACCCAAAAGTTCCTCGTCGACCTCGAACACGTCGTCGCTCATGCTGTCGTCGGCTGTCATTATCTGGAATCGTTAAGCGTCACGTATCTACATACCACTGAGACCACATACATATAGCGCGTGTATATATATATATACTTGAGAACCAACGTGAAATTGTCCCGTATCGCAGAATTCACTGGTATTCAATTTGGTTAACAGCCAAAACAATTGAATATGGGTGATAACTTTCGAAATTGCATTATAATGCACCGGTCCATCCTAATGTCCTAAATCAATTGGAATCTTCAAAGACGTTTCGAATTATTACCTCAGATATATCCAAGTTCCAATTACGTCATATATACTCGGGAGCGAATTACGTAATCGATTATATACATATCGTGACGACACTTTTGAACGGTGACGCACAAATAAATGGCACCGCGAGAAATAATTAATAAAATACTAAATTATTGGCCGCCAGGTATAACCAGAGTTACACCGCTGTCTCCTAAGGACACCCTGGCCAGCTCTTATGCGGTGGGGTCCTGGGTCTGGGAGACGATAAACGCAATCTGAAATCTAGGTAGGTTCACTCTGAGAAAACTACAACGAATAACCAATAAGGATTTCAAAATTAAATACGGAACCACAATCTGGCCCGATTTATTCAACACAATAAGAAAAAAGAGATGGAACAACGCTTCCTATACAGAATATACACGCTTCACGCAGAACGGGACCGTAGTCCCCCCTAGGGAATTATTTGAGCTCTCGGTCCCGAAGACCTATTGGCAAACTAATATCTACAAATTTACAGGACCTCAATATCCTACAAAAAATATACATCGTACTCCATACTATACGGAAGTACACGCTATACCCCATTCCTCACAGAATATACAAGGCAAAAGGCTATTATACAGAATTTAACGTGAACGAGTGCTAACGGACTCACGATACCCTTGCGCTAAGGAAATGACTCCGCGAGGCGTGGACTGTGTATCGGCGGTAAAGCAAAACCAACATTTGACCCATAAACGATATTAAATAGCACCGATCCTCCAGAGCGCCACCTATGAGCAATCCGTATACAATAATGATCGGGAATGCGTGAGGCACGACAATACGTCACGGTCTACCTCTCGTTCACGTAAATATGGTCAACTGGCAAAAGCGTCACTCAGCGCCCTCCTACTCGCTCCAGATATCCCCAAGACAATCTCTTTGATACTGGGTTCCTCGAGCGGTCGCAAAACGTCACGGTGGACTGTACAGTACTAGAAAAATCCGACAAAGCTCAAAGAAAACAATACGAGACTACACAAAGTTTATAAGACGAAAAGACGTCTGTTCGCAGGCTCGGCCACACCGTGACGCTATGAATTTCGAAAATCGGGAACCTTCCCCAGAGGCACCCTGTAATACATCCCTTAGGCCAAGCCGATTGGCGGACCCATCGACTTCGCCATAGCGCTCGCGATCTTCAATTGTTTTCCTCGATTCCGATAAAGTAGATCCCGGCATCTTTCGTGTTTGGGATGGCTGCAGTGATATTTTCGGGAGCTGGGAATCACGTCCTCCTCTGCTTCCTCGATGGACCGCTCCAGGCCCTTACTGCAACTTCCGTATGCCCTCCGGACCGGGGAGACGCTCGCCGAATGTTCCGCGTATCTGGCGTCTTAGGGTGTGCTCCGGTCTGGCTGTCGCGTCGCCTCACCAGCGCGCTCCACCAGGCCCGTGCTTGGCACTCTCGGGGCCCGCGGTATTCAAATTTTGACAAGATCCGGATCTGCTTGAAAAATATAAAACACAAAAAAAAAAGAACGTTCCCACGAGGGAAATAAATACAAATTCAAGAAATAATATACAGTCCGACGCCACGTAATCCCTTCCCCACGCATAGGGGCCCACACGACGTAGCCGGAAATCGCAGAACGTTACATTTTGTGGCGTGCATGTCGAAATGCCACGTCACGATATATAGCCATGTACTAGCCAGCCAGCTACCCTAAGTTACTGTATATGGCAAATGATGCTACATATGCGAAGACAACACACGGATCCGTACGTGGGATCCTTAGCGAAGAGATATGCGATCTTCTCTCGGAGGACGTCGCGACGCCCTCGAGCATCCCGCTCGACGTTAATTGACGTGGCTGTTTGCGAGGGACTTCGTCAAGACCACAACTAGGATGAAGGATACATGTAGGAAGGGGTAGGTAGGGGGGGAGGTATAAAAAAGCCAAGGACAACCCTCGAAATGGGCTAGAGTACCGAAGGACTATATATATATATATATATATATACACAGAGTACCAGGAGGGGTGCGGAAGGTGCGAAGGGGACCAAAGGCGAAGGGTCGTACGAGAGAAAAACAATGACGACTCTGCAAGTCTCCTGCCGTTTCACCCCCTGATCGCAGGGGCCGCCCTCCATTTCATTTCGCCCTTCAGACCGCCCCAAGACCCCCCAAGGGTTTCCCCTCTACGTCCAAGGCTCAGGGGTGAGTCAGGGTGGCCCCACCCCGTGACAGTACCTATTCTCACCGGCACGACCTGCGAATTGCGCCTTGATTGCCCCGCGATCAAGTCCACAAGCCAATTACGAAATAGTTCAGCCCTGGAGGATTATAAAATTTTGCAATTTTTATTTTACAAAAAAAAAATAAATTTTCCTCCACGCTCGGTTACTCCCACGTCCGTTTTTCCTCTTTATCCTATATTCACGTCATTGAAAAATCAATCCTGCCTGCTTAATCGGAAAAACATCCCTGCTGATCGATATAATAAACCGGGTGCGCGGGCTGCTGCTGCTGCTCTACTCCTAGAATACTTGCTGCACCGGTTTCTAGTGTTGCCCAACGGACACGCGTTGCGCGATGAAATGTATCGCGGCGTCACGTAACTGTCGCCGTTGCGACATCGCGACGTCCGATAAAACGACGCACGTGAAAACGAACCCTGACGCGACGTACAGTCCTACCTTATCGCAGTCCGGCTATCAGGGACGTCTACCGTACGCTCCGATCTGTCCTACAATATCTGAAGAGACAATCCCGCATACGTTGCGTCATCTTATTTACATTGTCCTTAATGGTATATCTATACGTCATCGAAACTTTCCCAAGCGCAAACGAACGACACTGCATGCTTACCTGCAACGATAGTCAATCGCGTTTACATGGAGCGAAGGCGATCGTTGTGCCCATTGGAGGGCGAATGGGGTTAGGTGGGTTTGTAGGCAAATTCAAATACTCACGTTGAGGGATGCAGAGGCGGGCACGGTGACCATCGCAGGGCTGACACCACTGACGCCCCTCATGGTTGCGACTAGCCTTATGGACACTTCCGGTCACATTGATTTCCTGCGAATCAAAAATTATGTATTTATTTTTTGTTCTAACCTTTTTTTTTATAACCCCAATGCAACGTCGATTCACGTAGATCCACGTCGTAAGAATACGAAGCACGTAATTTTTATACACTGCGCTTGCCCGTGCTGAAATTTTCTTTATATTTCTTTTTCGCGACCCTGTACGCTATGAAAAAGTCGCACGAGTCAGTAATGGCTGACGACTTGTGTATGCATTGCTTTAATTAATGAGAGCACGCTTAATTAGACAAAGTCCGGCTTTACGTTTCCGTCCCGTCGACACTGATAAAGATACTCTACAATGTTTCACCGGGACTTCGTGGCTCGCATGAAAAATTTCAGCAGCCGTCCGACTTCGTGTTTCGTTATCGTAAGCGCATTTTGTACGTGTAAGAGGAAAAGGAGGTTTGGCGGATGAGGTGAAAATTTTTTGTAATTACGTAAAAAAGAAATGTTTTTTTTTTTTCATGTAATAAAACGTTTAAACGGGATATACGTGAGATTCTAACGAGCTCACTGTATTTCGGATTAATATTCTCATCCATTGTCTGATCCAGGCTATGGGATTGACGATTGTTAAAATAAACTTGGTTCTCTCAGGGGCCCTTCCTACGCCCCTGGCCAGATTCGCGATTTCTACTTTCTAATCCAGATTTCGTACCTCGCGGCTACGGTACTCTTCTACCGCCACGTACTCGAGGTCTCTTACACGGTTCGGACTAATATTTACAATCTTGCGATAGTATTGATTACGCACGTTACACAGTCTTGTGAGGGTATTCCGTTCTCTTCGCTCTGTCATTATCTTTATGGGGGATTTGTCTGGCTTTATTAAAACAATCTGTTTATCTGTTTGGTTAATATCTGGTAGCTCTCATCGATCCCAACCTCACCCTAGAAGACAGAGACTAAACAAGGCCTAGCTTTAACGCCAGAAATTTCATTATCTACGCACAGCGTGGGACGTGTAAACAAACGAGAGCGAATCTATCGACCCACGTTGGTAATTATTTCCGTCCCTTCGTTACCGACCACGTTCCTTGTTATTACAGCTTTGAGAATCTCCTTGACACGATTTCCATACTCGAACGATGAATTTCGCCAGAATCGTTAATCAGGACGATGCTTCAATGTTAATTCACTTTAGAAAGATTCAAACTTTCAGATAATTACTGTACTTGGGTAAATATTGAAATTTTATATCGTCCCCGTGCACCGTGGACAGTGGCGTATAAAAACTACCTTGAAATGTGATTGAAATGACTACGAGAACGAAACCCCCTGTATAAACGCATATGAATCGTGGCAATGGAAAATTTTTTAAAGAGGAACGATGGAATTGGACTTCCAGTCAAATGAAAATTATACTGACCCAGTTTCCAGAACGCCCACTAGGACACACAGAAATCCCAAGTGACGTAATAACAACACATAAATCCTTGGACAGAAGCACTGTCGTGTTCTTTCTATCTCGAAAACAATGCGACTTAAATTTCGAGGTTAACACTGAAACTGTACCGAAGCTATGTCAAAATTGCATTCGACCGTCTCCCACGAAGTTGTCGTTGCTCGGCAACCGTTTGCTGTTTACGAATAATTCTCCAGACCGAGGACTCTTTCGAAACGAATAAATATTCCCAAGGAAAGCACAGAATCACAAGGCACCGAGTCGCCCGACGATCGAGAGGGACTTTCGCGTTCCCGTTTAGGTAAGAAACTCCCTTAAGGAACACGACGAGACGTCGACGCGAGCGCCACGACGGTCATCCTGTGCGTCAGTCATTACGTCACTGTTACGTGTTGCGTCACAGGCACGCGTGCGTGCACGTGGACCTGGATCAACAGTCTCGTTTTTGAAATGCCTTCGCGTACTGGGAATTTCTAAATATAATTCGAAATTCCAAGAAACAATAACAGAACGTGCCACGACGCTCGTGAAAGACGTTCCAGATGTGCCGGGACGTCGAAATAACGTGGAGACACCGGCTGCTTCTCGCAGATCGATTCGGCCTCGTGACGTCACGACGCCTCCTTCGTCGACGGCGTCGTCCAATCGATTAACCAGTCGACGCTACGTACGACTTCGTTTACTTTTTTCTCCTTTATCTTCTTCTTCTCCTCCTTCTACTTGCATTTACCATTTGACTTCATTCGCGTTTGTCTGTTGTGTCAGGGCTGATAAACGTGCGTGGGTGGACGCGCATGCGCAGTAGACCGCAAACAGGAACTGCGCTGCGTCCGTGAATCCTTACTGACCTAGCACGAGGGAAATCCTGGAGACCTTCCTTCGGGACAGGCGCACTCCGCCTCGAATAACAGTTGTGAATGAAACGACTAACGATTCCTGCTATAAATATACACAGGACGCGCTCACGTACGACAGTCAAGCAGGTGGGCCAATCAGAGCGCGCCTATTATTGTATCTGTGGAATTTCCAAAATCCATACATTTCCTTTTATTTTAATATACACTTGCCTAGATTTTTGGTATTTTTTTTACTTTGCATTTTAATAGGTGGTAGGGATGGTTGGAGTGGGGAAACTTGGAT